GATAGATAGATAGATAGATAGATAGATAGATAGATAGATAGATAGATAGATAGATGATAGATAGATGGATGATAGATAGATGATAGATGGATGATAGATAGATGATAGAATCTGCCAACAGAAAGCCATTAAAAATACGAGCCCCACAATTCCAGGAATAGTTGCTCAGACACTATGTAATTCAGTAGATCTAATTCATATAGTGTGTTTCTGCATATGAAGATATTAAAGGTCATGAAGGATACATTTTAACTTTTAATCATACCTGGAGAGTACTATCGAAGACTACCTGTTTTCCTCCTGCATTCATTGCTCCTAGCACAGTGCCTGCGGTAAAGTAGCTGTTCAATAAATACTTGTTGAATAGAAAAAATAAATAGAGAAAAGAGCTGCTGTACAATCTTCAGCACACACTGCTGACATGAACAATTGCTACCTAAATAAATTTGTTTAATCATAGAACCCACAACAGAATCTTACATGTTTAAAGTAATCTGGTTTAAGCAAATTTCCCATCAAGCATGCTTTTCCAAATCATGCATTTCCCCAATATCCCCAGTTCACATGTATAGTTTTCTGCAGTTGTGTTTGTGGACATGACAACAATATTAATAAGATATAATGTCTATTAAGTGATTGTTTCTGTGCAAGGCTGTGTGGCACAGTGCATGTTAAATGCTTCACATGCATTATCTCATTTAATCCCCTAGTAATGCTGAAGTGAGTTGTATTTTGGAGGACCCCATGTTACAAATGAAAATTGAGGCTTAGAAAGTATTAGTGACTTATTGAGTCACGCCAGTGACTGGCAAGAGCCAGCATTCAAGGGATGGTTGTAGGAGATTAAATGGAAGAGAACATGTGGAAAGTATCCTGTAAAAATAATCCATAGAAATAGAAATAATCTATAGAGAAGCAACATAATTCCACCATTGTAGACACTAAAGACATATTCTCTTCCAGATATCTTACTTATGCTTAGCAAATGATTTTTTTATTACAGGAACTTGGCATTTCAGTGCAACTCTTTCCAGGAATAAAAAGATAAGCCAAGTCACATTAAAATTATCTGAATATATAAAATCTGAGGTGAGAGTTGTATTTATCTGCAATGTTTAAAAAGAGGCAAATATACATACAAAGGTAGAATTTCTTAAAAAGATCATTGACAGTTGGGTGGAGGAACACAGTTGCGATAGTTGCTTTGGTTTTTCTTTTTCTACGAGGTGTGTCCTGCCCATGTGGATGCGGTTCTGGAGTGCAATTTTATGTACTCAGCAAGGTCTTTTTTTGGTGTGCTCTAAAAAAATAATGGGTGTGAGGTATAGGCTTTGGGGCAAATCCCAAGATTGAAAATGTTAGTATAATCATGTTAAAATATCCCCAAAGACTCACTTTACTGTGTCTTAAAAGTCTCTTTATTTTTCTTATAGTGACTTTATTCATTTAAAGTTAAATAAAAAGTTCTTATCACCATGCATTGATTGAGGTAAAAACAATAATGTAACAATTTTTCATAATAAAATCTGTGTATGTATACCAATTCTCTTTCTTAATCTGGTCAAAAACTTGGAACAGATTAGTTTCATCTCTCTTCAAAGTCACTTCATTGATTTGTGCTTCCTCCATGTTATATTTTTAGCTTTTATAAAAAAAACTATAAACAAAAAACTTCCAAAAATCAGCATGAGAAATTTGCTGCAGAATGACATTAACAGAAATACCCTTGTTAGCTTTGTTACTATGAGAAGCCCAAAGGAGACATTTGTTTCAGAAATTAAATGCCAAATAAAACACCTTGTAAACTAGATCTTCTCTCCTTTACCATAGTTATCCCTGATCACTAGAAAAATCAAAACCTAATAGGACATTTAAGCCTAGTGGTTATATTAAACTTGTGCTTTACATATTTGCTTTCTCTCTGTTTCTTAGCCACAGAAATAGGAGAATTAGGGCTGTTTTGGCTATCTTACCTTAGTTTTAGGAAATTACATTTTCAAAAGCAAGTATTTTCACTGACATTATTTCATTTCCTCTTCATCACAACCCCAGAAGAAAGCCAAGGCAAGTGTTGGAACCTGATTTGATCTTTGGGGAAACTCAGGTCCAAGAAGATAAAGACTTACTTCAGAAATGCAGACTGGTACAGAGCAAAGATCTTAGCACATCTTAAATGCTTCTTCCCCACTGCTTAAAAAAGGCTTGTTAACCACAGGGTAAAGTACCAACTGATTCCTTCTTATGGGGCCTTTGTTCTGTTATGTTAATACTCAGGACTTTACGGCCTGAGTCTAGTGAGTCATAGGACCATTGCTGGAGCCATGGCACATTCAGCCCTCTGCCCACACTGTCTAAATATGTACAGCATCTGAATCAAAGGCACTTCTTTGGGATATTGTGCCTGAATCTTGGGTGACCCTGAATGTTTAGGAAAAGACTGTATTCTCTTTCCTGTGTACATCCTCCTTAGAACAGAGATTCATCCTGGCCTGGCACATGCTAGTACTGCACCTACACATTTGTTGAGCTGCAATACCAATGGCAAGAAATGCACTCATTATGTAGAATGGAAATATGTTTCTACACATTAGCCTCACCCAATCTTTAATCATGAAATTTACTTGAAGTGGTATATAAAATACAGATCTGAAAAACCTAGGACCATAATGGAACTTCAGGGCTAAATTATTCTATTTCTGTTGAACCTTGATCCAACTCCCTCAGAGGGACACCATCTGTCACCTAACGACTCATTGTTTATGGGTTATACTTTGAGTACGGCAAGGCTGAAGTGCAAGTGAGTTTGCTTGCTGAGTAGAAAATCCCTGAAAGGTGTGTGATTGTTCTTATTTCCTGATCAAGTAAGATCATCAAAAGTGGAATCTCTTTCTGAGCATTTCTTGTGTGCTAAATTGCTAGGTACTTTCATGTATGTTGTTTCATTAAATCCATTCAACAACCCTAAGAAAAGTCATGTGACTTTAATATTTTGGGTGATAAAACTGAGTCTGAGAAAAGTAAAATTTTTAATTTCTTTATCTTTTTATGTTCCAAAGCCTACACTATTTTAATTCTATGGGGAAATGGTAGAACATTTATGCTACTATTAAATGTAGCAACGTTTAAGGAAGATATATATATCTTCCCTTTGGGGCACATATATGTATATGCACACACACACACACATACCTTTCTTTATTGAAGGAAAAAGGATCTCTTGATCACCTCCTCTTGGATTATTCTCGTGTTTGACTATGCATTTGTATTCTTTGTCCATTGACTTTTCAGTCACAGTCAGCCAGCTGAATTTCATGTATGTGTCGTTAGTCACCATGGTGTTTCCCTGCTGAGATTCCAGAATTGCATTGCCATTCTTTTCCTTCCAGTACACCTTGATAACGTCAGGAAAAAATTGCTCAAGAAGACAAAGATATGTTCCAGCCTTATGAAGGTTTATTTCAGCAATTGCAGGTTGAAAAATAGTGGGCTTGGGGGAGAAGAGCTCTGAATTGAGGCTTCTGTCTGTGGGGGGAATAGAATAGCAATTAGGAATCAGAGAAACAAACGCTGTGTGGTTTGGAACAACACACACAGGAAAAGGAGGGAAAGCGATGGAAAGCTGCCACTGAACTAGTGCTTGTGACGGCCTCTCGCCCACAGCACTGTGTCCTGTGAGGTCCTCGTATTGTTCTTACTTTCCGATGTGAAAAGAGGTTACATAACTTGCCCAAAGTCACTGCTATTAAATGGCACAGCCTGAATTAAAACTTGGCCTTTGTTCCTTCTCCACATGCTAAAATGGGGTTGGAGGTTTAACTGCTTCAACATTTGTGAACTTATTTATTTATTCATTTTTAATCTCTTTCATGTCATAGGCTGAGGGAGGATGGTGAAGATAGAGGAATAGGGGAGGAGATGATCTCTCTTCAGATGAGAATCTTAGTGGCTTCTAAAGTGCAAAAAATAAAAAAATAAAATAAAAAACAGACACAGACAACAGTCTAGTGATTGCCAGAATGAAAGGGGGGTGGGGAGGTAGAAGAGGGCACCGGGGCGATAAGTGGTGACGGAAGGGGAATTGACTTGGTGTGGTGAAAACACAATACAAAGTACAGATGATGTCTTATAGAATTGTACACCTGTAACCTGTATAATTTTATTAACCAATGTCACTCCATTAAGTTCAATAAAAATATGAAAGTACATCCCTGTCCCATCCCATGAATTTTGTAACTTAAGCTTTTTTGGGCCACACATCCTCATGTTCTGTAATGGAAACTCACTCTCCCTTTAACTGATTCTGAAATGCACCATATTATCTTTTTTTCATAACAATAACTGCCAGGAGGAAATTTTCATTTCTTTTTAAACAATACAGCCACTTGTTTTACTGGGAGTCTACTTCCACATGTACTTATTTTATCAAGTTATTCTTTTAGCTTCAAATATGTACCCCATGCCCAATTCCTAAGTAATACAGTACTGCTAGTTGACTTCACATATGAACCACTTCAGATTTTTTAGGGGCAATATTGAAAACTGCACCTAAAAATTATTTATGATGCCTTCCTTGAATTTAGAAGCAAAATAGCAATATTTCCAAAACTTCTAATAAATTTTTTATTGATTATTTTCAAAACACTACTATTAATCTATCAAGTAAATGCCCTTGACAGAATTTTGCTTTGCCTTTGTAAAAGTTCCCCAAAAGCACATTTTATTTGGGAATTTCATTTGAAGTCTAAATATGACCATTATACCATACTTTAAATAAACTATATTTTGACCCTGAGTGTCTCTCCTAAAATTTTTATCTACCCTATAAGGCTGCCGAGCTATTTTAGAGCTCCATCATTTTCTTTGTTTTCATCTGGGTCTAGAGTTTCTTGCATATATAATTGGAGTAATGTTAAAAGCTATGGGTCTAGAGTTTCTTGCAGATATGGTGTCAGTATAACAAAACATCTATTTACACGGCATGTCATGTGAACACTTTAATTTTACTTGATTATACATTTATTGTTAATCTAATGATTAAAATTATAATTGTTGAAATACTTTCCAATTTGATTTCCAATTAAAACACAAATTCCTTACTATATTTTCTTTGGATTAGATTGGAGTTAGTTTAATAAATCAATGGGCAATTTTTTAAGAAAAATTAATTGTATTTCTCATTTGAGAAGAAAAGGAAAAAAATTCTTGAGAATTTCTGACTGTGAAGCAAGGCTCCTGATTTTTTACTAAATCAGTAAGCAAACAATGTTAGGTTTTTAAATAATGTTGTAAACATAATTAGGTCATAATGTGCTTTATTTAATTTTATACACCTTGCTTTTGGTGCAATAGTATTTTATTTATTATAACAGTAAGACATTGTGTATTTCTCTAACCATATACTTTGTTTTAAGCTTAAAAAGCATGTTATATAAAACAATAATTTTTCAATTTTACATTATATTTACATAATTTTACTCCCTAGTTAATATATTAAAGAATCTAATTTTCATCTTAGGAACTTTTTTTCTTCATAGTTATACGTCTGATTCATTATATTAAAGAAATTGAAAATCAAATGACAAACCTGAAATGTTTTTGTGTAAAAACACTATTCTTATCGACTGTTCCTTTTCCTTAGCTAGATTATTTGTGTCACTCTTTTCAAGATAAAGTGAATATTGAACTTCCATATCTTTCTTGATGTAATAGTTAACTGAGTATTAAATAGTGTACTTGATTATCTATGGTTAGTACTTATATTTTAGATCATTGTATTACATGTTTTTTCTTTAAACAGTCTTAGTAAAACTTATTAACTGTTTTTTATGGTCAAAATCTTATTCATGGTACATATAATAGAAACCAGGTTAAAAAATACATAAGCCTTCCAATAAATTTATATATACTTATTTGCATAACCAAATAATACATCTGAGTTAAATTGCCTAAGTAGTTCATATTTATTAAGATGTAGCAATATAAATTCTATATAAATTTTCTAAATTCTATATAAATGCTAACTACATTTTCAATTGAAAGTATGATATTTCATACCTACATTGATATTAAGTGTTCTCTATTTTTTCTTGTCTTTTTTCTTGTATCGAATAAGCAGTTATAGCTCTTTTATGGTTGTATATGAATTTCAAACTTATGACATTTCTAACTATATTTAATTGACTTTACATATTGGCTATTTTCTGTATGAATTTAAACTTTTTTTGATAAATATGAGCATGAAACTGAAACTTATTGGCTATAAATTTTAGGGCTAATAAATGTTGTTTTTAGAAATAATATCAATTAAGATAAGGGATTAAGATTTAAAGCACATAGACCAATAATAAAAATTAAAAACAAACACGTTAATCTTATTTTTCTTGCCAAGTGAGGGAAAAGTGGTGGTAAAAAGAAACCAATACTTCCAAATTAATATTTTTATGAGTAGTTAGAAGTACAGCTGAATTCTCTGGGGAGTTTCTGCTCTGTCAATATTATTGGCTGCAAACAACTCTTTATACTATATACAATTTTCTTTTATATCTGAATTGACAGAACACCTCTCTAGCACCTATTATATGTTAGACAATGCGCAGGTACTTCATTCATGCTATCTCAATCAATTCTCATACAACCTGTCTATACAAGCATATTCCATTTTATGAATTAAGAAACTGAGGCCAGAGGAATTGCCCACGTTCACATAAACAGTAAGTAGTGGAGCCAGAGCTCCATGCCATCCTGACTCCAAAGACCAGGCTCTTTCACAACATCTTTCCACCATCAGAAAAGGAAATGTGTCAACTCACAAACTGACCTATAATAATAAACTTTACCCTTGGGCCCAACACTTCCATGATAATTGCATACATTACATCTGACCCTTTTGTACAAGTCCACATATACACAAAAGCCAAATCCTGTTACAATACTTGCACAATGTTGTCTATGCATACCTTTGAGGACTTGTTTTACAATCTCTACTAAGATTTCTACATCTAATCCCCATCATATTCCTGTCTTATCTAAATATTTTTACTGTTATTCCAATTTAATTGTTTCTTGCTTTCCCCCTATTACCTTGAAAAATTGCATTCTTCTGATACCTACCTGTAACGACAAGTTTTGTTCCATCACCAAACAGCTTTCTATCATATTTCCACAGTGATTCAACCAGTATCAAAAACTTTGGACTGCCCTGGCTGGTGTGGTGCTGTGGTTAGAGCATCAGCCCGTGCACCTAAGGGTTTCAGGTTCGATTCTGGTCAAGGGCACATACCTGGGTTGCGGGTTTGCTCCCCAACCGTAGTTGGGGCGCATGCAGGAGGCAACAAATCCATGTGTCTCTCACATAGATGTCTCTCTCTCTCTCTCTCTCTCTGTCTCTCTCTCCCTCTCTTCCTCCCTTCCATTCTCTTTCTGAAAAGCAATAGAAAAATATCCTCGGGTGAGGATTAACAAAGCAACAACAACAACTTTTCACGAATTTAGCTTCTCTGAGTTTTTCAAATGCTAGTGGAACTATCATTTCAAGTGATCAGTGTTCTGGTTCTGGTTCATTTTGCTCATAACAAGTTCTGTGGCTGAACAAAAAAGTTGTTGGTGCTTTAATTTATCTGAATGCAATGATGTTAGTGAAAATCCATTCAACATCACTACTAGTGTCAAAGTGAGACCAAAATGAAACAAAGTTTGAAAAGCAATTTGATTTAAAATGCTATGGAAATAAGAGAGTATAATAATTATTAGCCATTTGATTGTGATGACTTTGTGCTCCAACCTGACTTTTTAATCTCATGGGACCAAACCTTGCCCTTACTAACAGGAGTTCAGCACTTTGAGGTTGCAGGTAAATCCTAGCAATGCATCCCACTTTCTTCTAATATGTCTGGAATTCTCAAAGCCATCGTCACTGGAAATGTGCCTTTCATACACTTGGTTAATAAGCAGTCATTTGTCTTGTCTTACCTGCATTTCTGGTGTTAGGAAAGTCAAAGGAAACATTGGCTAAAGCCTAATAATACGAGGTCGATATGAGAACTGCTTCACTTGTGTTGTCCAAAACAAATAGCTCTTTCCCCAGTCAACAAACAGGACAATCTATTAGCATTCCAAGCTTTCACCAGAAATTTCAACCTCACGTTGACATCTTTCCAGCTCATGCTGAAAGTTCAGCTTGAAGCTCCTGGCAATGGGCTTTCAAGCCAGAATGACAAGAGAAATGGCAGGATACCTGTCCTCAAATCCTCCTATTGTCCCGTTAGATCACTAAAACATTACCTGCCTGGCCATACCTGCTGAAGTTCAACATCTATAAATAATGTCAAATGCTATAATGCCCATAACACTGATGCAGTGGTAGTGTAGAATGGGTTTGTTTAAAGACCATTTCTTCCATTTTACAAAAAGAATGTCAAAGATAATATTCACTTTTACTTCCCTTTCCTCCTAAAGAACTCATGTTTTGAAATCATTTTCTAATTTTATAGTGGGAAAAACATATCATGTTTGAATTTGGAGTACTTCATTTTATTAATTAACAAAAGTATGTTTTAACAAAAAGTGCAGTTTTTTCTACATTTTTTCTTTTTTTAAAATTCACTTTTTAAAAATTGAGATATAACTGACATAACTGACCTTTGAGCATAAAATTTTACCCCATGCTTCTTCTGGATAATTGCAGGCCTTTTTCCTTCTGCTTTCTTTAGTGTTTTGATCTTCTATTTTTATTTTATGGTCTGACTATAACTTTGATTTAGGTCTTCTCAAATAGATTTTGGAAATAGGCAGTTTAAATGAATTACAAATAGTTTGTGCATTATAGATTGTTTCTTTTTCTACGCATGCAGTTGATAGTTGAATACGATCTAACTCAAAGACAACATGAGAGATGAAAGAATATGTTTGTAAATCCTAGCTCTGTGATACAGATGCAAAACATGTCGAATTCAAACAGACTGAAACTGCCAGCACATACGGTGAGACTTTCTTTCCCAAAAAGATCCCTCACAAAACAGGGATTGTTTTGTATTTCAGTCCTTGTGCAACTTCTTATATTAAAATATAATCTTCCAATACTCTGCTTTGATAAAAAATACTACTTAGATGTCAAACTAAAATAAATTAATTTTTTAAAATTTATTTTAAAAACTCAATTAATGCTTTTAGAGCTAGCACTGGCAATAAACAATACAGAAATTTAACATGGATTTGGTAAATTACTAGGGACTAAAGCCTCTACAGTTTATGCTTTACATCGCACATGTATAGAATAACAGAAAAAAGAAAAGTTCTTTTCTTTCATTTTGTAAATGATAATTATCTCTTCATATTAAATTTCCAGTGACATCATCATGTAGGGATCCCAAAACAGACACTCAGTAACTTAGAAATTGCTCTAAAATAAAGTAGACGTTTTAGATGCATGATTTATTTATATTGATATAATTTGTATTGGTATTTCACACTTGATATTTGTTTTGGTATAATTTTTAACATTGTAGCTATAATCTAATTAAGACACTAATTATTATAAAGTGGATACTTGACTTTTCTATATATCACTATAAATTTATATATGCAAATATCAAACCCTTGTCCCCTCTCTTTCTTCTAGATATTTCTACTGGAAAATGAGAGGTCACCTTATATTTAGGTTAACAGTATTTGAGATAATGCTTATTATATTCTAATCATTTTTTTGAAGCAGGTAACAATTAGCCTTAGAAATTGAAAGTATTTTGCAAATACTGACCATTTGTTCTAAAGTGACCTGTGGACTAGATAAGAATTAACATATTTATCTGTACTCCTGATTTCATAAAGAACTCCAGTGGGTGGTAATCTGAATTCTGGAGAATTCACATTTTTGTCACTGACCATATCCCAACCTTTGTGGAAGGTTATTTCCATATTTAATTTCATTTAATTCCCACAACATCCACTTGAGATGGTTGTTGCATATATAGAATAAATGGAAATGTATCAAAATAGTAAAAGTGATATGTCAATATTAAATTTTATTTTATTTTTTAAAATTTGTTATAGTTTTTAAAATTTTTCAATTATAGTTGACATATAATATTATATTAGCTTCAACTGTAAACATAGTGATTAGACATTTATATAACTTACAAAGTAATCACTTTGATAAATCTAGTAACCACCTGATGCCATGCATAGTTATTACAATATTATTAACTATATTCCATATGCTATATTTTACATCTCCATGAAAACCTATAGAGAATTTTTTTATTGATTGGTTTGAGAGAGATAGAGAAACATTAGTTTGTTGTTCCACTTTATGCATCCATTGGTTGCTTATTGTATGTGCCCTGACCAGGGATTGAACCCACAACCTTGGCATATGGGGGTGACACTCTAACCAACCAAGTTGCACACTGGGGCAAGAATTTTTATTAAAAATTTATTTGAGTCAAACAGAGGATACACCTGGAAGCAGGGTCTCAATAGACTGAGAAAAATGCTTTCTTTTTATTCCATATTTTTTGTATTTTACAAAATGTTTTCATAATAGGCACATATTATGATTATAATTTTAATAAAGCAATAACCAGTGAATCAAACTTTATTTGCTAAAGAATGATTACATAGAAAGTGATAGGCCTAGAATCAAAGCTTATCATTTTCTCTGCTCCACTCTCCTAAAAACATTTTTCAGGACCCTCATGAATTATATCTGTATCACCATTATTAATTTATTGCTATAATTTACATTGAGTATGTAGTCAATTGGAAAAAGGATGACCAGGAAGTTGCTTTTCAATTCATGAATTCATTTGTTCATATGACCACAATCACTAAGGAAACCAATATATATCATTTCAGTTTTTTTAATGCTCTATTAACTTTGTGAAAATTCTTTAAAAAGCTTCATCTGAATGGATCTGGTAGGCTAGAACATCCTTGTGAAATGTTCTTCATGATTCAGGCAAGATTTCAGATTTAAGGCTAATGATGAATGAACAAATTTACTGGCTGAATTTAGAAAAAGCAAGTCCAGTTCGTGACATTTCTTGCATTTGATCACACAGTTAAATGTTTTGATATTAATCATCCTCTAACCAAAAAAATGTAACAAATTTTTTTCCATTGGTTCTATTGGTTATTTTTGGTATCAAATAAATAGATTATATAAACTTCTTTAAAAATCTTTCAACATAAAAATACCAAGTGGACCTAACATCTCCACCCTTTAGGGACCCACAGTTGCTCTCACTAGTTAACTCCTTATTAATGTCCCCCATGCTAGGTCAGGATACAACTGCCTCCAAACACCTGGATGGAATCATTAACTTCTCTGGAAATCACCATGGTCTGAGACCAAACTGGAACTGAATCCAACAATCCTGAGCCCGCACCAGCACCTACCCTGCAGCACCTGCATTCCCTACCTTAACTGAAGAATTTAAAGAAAATTTACTTGTAACAATGAGCTGTGTGCCAGGACCAAATATTTTCATTCTTCTGACTTTTATTTGTCCATTATCTGAAAAACCTTTATAGAAATATCCTTTTTTATGTTTTAAAATTATGCCCATATTTTTAAAATATTTATATAAATATATAAAAATTGACCCTGCTAACATTACACAAGCTCAAGCAAGACCACAGTAGATATGAATGTAGTCAAGAACTGAAGAACTGGCCCCTCTCTGCCTGGGCACCTTGCGTTATATCTTTTCTCGTCTCAACTCATGTTGAAGAGTATGATTTTATCTTCTCTCACCACTTTGCCTGAATCTTCTACCTCTCCTCTCTTAAAGAGTTTTTATGTATAAAGTAAGTTTTTTCCTAGAGTATAATTTAGTGTTAATATTTCTTTAATTTTAAAAGAGGGACAGTAATAGGAATAATATATTTGAGCATTTAATAGATGTATTCCAGTATGTTTTACAAGCATTTGTTATTGATATGCATTAAAGGGTGGGTATTTAGATTGATTCTAAAGTAACTTCTTTCTAGAATCCACTTTTTACTGATAGACCAGATGAGTTGTTACAGAGTATAATTCTTCATGATGGTCTCTTAAGCTATTTATTGCTGAAAGACTGCTTCTTTGGACTTATTATTACACTTACAGTTTCCAGGGCATTGGCTATAAATTCTGTGTTGCTTATCAGAG